AGCCGTGGTCTATCGGAATTTCTTCCTGACGTTTCGTCCACAACTGCGGTGGACATTTTCAAAGGCGATGAGGCAGTGGGCGAAGTGATCTCCCGCGCTTTCCGACTAAGAATGATTCAACAGCTGGATTCCCAGTCGTATTTAGTCCAGTAATTGTACCCCTGTGTTCCTTTGTTGATGGATATTTAAAAGGAACATTTATTGGAAATACCACATAAATGTTATCATTCCTCTTTGTCAGCAAAAAGGAGAAAAGCCATAATCTATGTTTATATTCAGAGAATTCGACTCGTAATTTTGAGTCGCTGATCTAAGCATAAATGGTTAAGCTCAACCGAATTATATCGATGAATTTTAGAATAATAAGAAAAAAAATAAAGAAATAAGAGAGCCTTAAAGAACTCGTTGTATCGACAACATAATAAAATACGTTCTGCTTGTGTTGAGATAAATACATAGTTATTTTATTTCAATGCCCTTTTCCCTATTAATAATCTAATAACATTATTCATTATTTAAAGAAATATTAAATACTATTTAAAGGTTTTTTTACTGCTAAACGGACAATAGTTTTTGGAAATAGGAACCTTTTACTGCCATCGACGGGATGCAAACTATTTCCTGATGGTAATTGATCTCTTGGCGTTTAAGAAAACCCTTTAATTTCGATATTGATTTGATAAAATCTCAGTAATTGTTCTTTTTAAGCTTTAAAGCGTAATTTGGTCGCTTTTACAAACCAAAATGTTGCACGTACGAATTTAGAACCATATAGAACACGATAATCATGTTTTTCTTTGAAAACTGAACAATTCACAACTGTACGCGAAATTGTCACATTTTTTAAAATCATATATATTACAAAAGTAATATTAAAAAAATTTACAAATGTATTTTAAGAATTATGAACAGAATGCGTCAAGTGCAGATCTATGTAGAATAGAAATAGATGCCGATTTTAATGCCTATATGCCTATTAAATTACTTAAATTGTATGCTAAAAATTAAACTTACCTACGTACATATATTAATTACATATAGATAAAGAAATAATAAGAAACAAGTTGATGTGTAAACAGTAAGATCCTTGCAAATAATCATGTTCATTATTAATAACGGAGTTTGTCTTCATATTTGTTTAATGTGCGCGCCGCTAAAATTCTATAAGCCCGAGCGGAACATAAAATTATCTTCAGCTTGAATTAAGTTTGTGTTGTACTTTTGTTGGAATATGTAAATCATACCTACAACATGAAAATATATCCGAGTTAGGTAGAGACTGTCTGCAGGCGCTTATTAGACAATGAGAAAGTGCGCATTAATAATTTAGATTTTCTGTATTTTTTTGAATTTTCTAATGTAAAATTTGTCTGTTTTCGAAAACTTCAAATTTTTTATCAATCATTGAAAAGAAGAGCGTGCGGAAAATAAACGGCAAGCAAAGCTGAGATTATTTTATTGTTTTTTATGGATAATCAATATATTAATAATTTTTGTTACTATCAAACTAATTTTGTTTAATTTTACGCCTCAGGCTTACAAGCAGATAACAGTTGACTGCAAGTGGGGATTCTCTTGTTGAGACACGTTTGATGCTTGTAGCTGAAGCTGACCAATTAAAACCTTATTGTAACCGTCAAATATATCTTTTTTTGTTGATTTGGTTACTCAATTACGTTTTATAAATTATATTCTGATGTATTATCTCGATCAACCACCAGACAAATTGGCTAAAGATATATGTTAGTTTCCCTGATGTAGTGTTTTTTTCTTAATATTGAAATAATGTTTGTAATTTTTTTTTAAGTTTATGAGTTTACCAATGTTGATTCTCGTTGTATCTGCTCTACTTTGTATCATATTGATTTTACCATTCGCTTTGTCCATAAAATTTGTTTGAATTTTTTCTGTGGAAATAGAGCATATTTTGATTTAACTAACAAGTAAAAACTAACGTACAATACTTGTTTTCGCGTTTTCAGAAAACAATTATGTATATAAATATGTTTCTGTATTTGAATTCATGACGTCACGTTCGAATCCATGTTGCTTCTATCATATCTAGGGATTTTCGGTTTGCTTTCTAGTGCGCAGCCGTTGTCTGTCATTGGTCAATCGGCTGCAATCATGCTTCAATCGCTGACTCCATATTGTTTGGTGTTTGTGTACGGTTCATGTATATTCAAACCAGCAGTTTTCCTGGCACATTTGCACTTTAAAAGTTCGGAATCAACGTGGAAAGTGTTCAATCGTTATATAGGTTGTGTAGAGTAAAGAAAATAGTGTGGAATTAGTTCAGTTCGGTTGTGTGTGACTTCTGAGAAACATTATATGAACTAACTTCTACCCGGTGCCATGTCTGTTCATTACAGATTTAAATCTGCTCTGGAATATGATACAATAACTTTCGATGGATTGCACATATCGATCAAAGACCTTAAAAATGCAATTATACAACAAAAACGCATTGGGAAAAACTCGGACTTCGATTTGAGAATTACCAATGCCCAAACTAATGACGGTGAGTACGAACCTCAAGTTTTACTAATTGATGATTTAATTAGAATTTTTTGGTATATTTGTGGCCACATGGAAATATTATTGGTTACCCATATCGTGTAGTAAAGTAGAATGTTTAGGTTTCATGGTTTCCCTTGCTTTGTGTAAATTATTTATTTTAAATGTGTATTCAAACTATTGCACTTAGTACATTTTTGTGGAAATTTGAAAATTGGACAGTTTACTGAAGTAATTAGGGGCAAGCGATCGAAAATATTTTCAAGATAGGCACGCTTTTGGTTATATCGGAAGTGGGTATCAACTTGCTTATTTTAAATGGAACACTTTATTTATTATTACATTGTTGAATTGTATTCCAAATACTATAGTATATTACGGTACAAGAAACGAAAGTCGAAGTTCCGCTACTGCTTAAAGTTGACGCGCGAGGCGAAGCCGAGGGCGTCATGCACGTACGCATTCGCGTACCGTATATGTCTATTTTTTTTGTCTCGGTGGAAACTAGCCCGAAAAGTACAAGTTTTTGAAAACAACTTTGTAAATGTTGTCAGTCAACTGACAGTGACAAAGTCAAGCTGTCAGCGTGCGTGGCGAAAGTTATTACTTTCCAAATGGGAAGAAGACAATTTGTATTGGGTAAAGTGATGTGTTCGCCATCGAAAATAGTGGCGAAAGTCCGTACTTTCCACCAGGAGATCGAGAAAAATATAGTATAATATACTATATCTAAAGGCTCGTTCAGACGGTGACATCGATGACGTGACATATAATTCTGTGACAGCTTTCGATGTCATGGAGTCATGGCCGTTCTCGAGTTTAAAAGTGCAAACGCTCCCTGGTGGCTAAAATTATAACACAAAATAACTAGTAATTTGACATTTGTTTTGTTAACATTGGTGATTTGTTTCGATCTAATCAACTTTTGCAAGCTCTTGATTTTTGTTTTTTTTTTCATTCACATTAATTTTTGTTTGATTGCAACTCATTTTTCGCTTGTTTACCACCCCTATCTACAGACTAAGTCTCAACTGTCACTTGGTAACGAGTAATTTGACGTTTCGCAGCGCCCTCATCGGTAGTTGAACTCGCGTATAGGTGTTCCTTTGAATTTAAAACTAACTAATCAAAAATAGGGGGTTTTATTTGAAAAAAAAATATTTTGGCCGGTATTCTCAACGTCATTTTGAAACTTAATTTTTTAACACTGTATTAAGTACGTAATAGCTGTAAAAATGTTGTCGAAATTCCATTAAAGTACAAGAAATGCGACTTGATTTAAGTAGCACATATTTCCTTATAGGAAAAATGAATAATTATCCGTGTGGCTGCAACTGTAATTTTTTACATAAAATTTCAAATATGTATATCAAAAGCGGTTATAATTCGGTATTATACATGAAATATATTTCTAATTTGGAGTAGGATTCAAAAATGTTATAATATACAGGATGATTCGAAATTGGCGTCATTCCTTTTAAGGAGTAATAGGGGCTCACTCACGAAAAAAGATGGACATTTTTTTTCGATAATTTCTAGAAGATATTAACAGTTGAAAATCGAAACTGCGACTTCATTTGAAGCTCCTTTCGTGAATTTGCGGATATGCGTTTAGTTCTCGGGAAATGCCACAGTAAAAAAGCAGAAGCTGTAAGAACTCACGCCAACAAAAGGCGAGAGACACTGGAGATTGTCTGATAAGGTCTATATCGTTAAATTCGGAAAAATATAAGAATTTTAAAGAGCCCACAGCCAACTAGATTACCATTTAAAAATACACAAGTTTCTTTTTTATCTCGTAAATCAAGTTTACTATGACAACGAGTGCTAGTTTATTGGATTCAGGGCAAAAAGTTCTGCCAATGGCAATTCTAACTTTTTTCTGAGTTAAACAGTTTTCGTAATATGTGATAATTAAAAAAGTGTTTTCTTGTGTTTGTGATTTCTTGTATTTTCAGAATATTTCAGGAACCAAGTCGGGTACCTAAATTTTGAAAACGGTAATGAATAGGCAATCGAATTCTGCCCAATTTTGCCCATTTAACGAATTATCTGTCTTTAAAAATGTAGAAGTTACCCATACAAAAATTCAGAAAATGGCCATCCTGTATGAATATTTGTATATTTAATCAAAACTAAACAAGTTGCAGCATTACTTTTGCATAATCTCAACACTAATAGGAGAGATGTTTCAATTTATATTTCTTTTTTATCTGTGTTGTATGAAGCGTTTTACGTTACTAAAAAATGCACACATTCTTTGTGTTTCTTGTCAACAAAGTGTGATACCAAAGTGTTGTTTTCCAAAGCATTGGGGACTGAAATTCCGCCTTCGGAAGTTCTAGACACCATGTATAATTATCGATATGTATAAGTTTTTATGATTTGAATTAGTAATTTATTTCGTTTTTGGTTCACTCTTAAGTACACGCAGAGCTGCTAATGCCCTGCATAGATATGTATACTTTCTTCACCTAAACTTATGATATGGGTTTTCAGTTTATGAGGACGAAAATGCATTGATCCCTAAAAACACTTCGCTACTCATTGCGAGAATACCCGTAACTACCCCCAAGCAAAAACAATGGGAAGGATATGGCGGAAATGATACTCCTCCTGCCAAATTGGATGACGGTGGAGCTATTGGGAAAACAGTGGATTTAGCCAACTTGGACGCTCCAGAAGATGACAAAATTCGAGCTATGATGTCCCAGAGTACGCAAGATTATGATCCAAGCAAGTAAGTAATAGACGGTGGCATGATAAATTAATTTAAAAAAATTAAATTGAGGTTTACCTCAGTAATTAAGACATTTTCTCTCTGGTTATATACGTGCAATTTTTTCAGTTATGTGAAAATTCGTGGAGCCAATCAGGTGGGTCCCGTTCCTCAAAATTACCGGTGTTTTAAATGTCACCAGACTGGCCATTGGATCAAAGATTGTACTTTAGGACAGGGAGTGGTAAGTATTTGTTGTGCGATTGTTTGTATTATGAACTATTATTTTTACCCTCTCACAAGATAAACAATTAATACATTTTGCTCTTTTATTGTTTAATAGGAGCCAGTTGAAATTAAAAAAAGCACGGGAATACCCCAAAGTTTTATGGTGCCTGTAGATGGTCCGCAGGTGCCCGGAGCTATGATGATGGCCAATGGACAATATGCAGTTCCAGCTTTGGACCTTCAGGCTTATAATCAGAAATCAAGTGGCCCTGCACCGGTGCAAGAGAAGAAGCCCGACATTCCTGATGACTTGCTTTGTTCAATTTGTTCGGATTTGTTAGCGGATGCTGTGATGATTCCATGTTGTGGTAAGTCTACAGTTTGTCTCATTAGATTTTACTAAATCCGGAATGATTAAAACAAAAAAGTAATTTAGGAACATCAGTTTTAAATGCAATATGTATCCTGCAATGAAATATTAATGTTATCTGTCCTTGGAAGAGGAGATCTCTCTTTGTTTGTGCGTATATGAATGTGAATGTTTAATAATTTTTTATGTATCTATCTATCTATCTCCTTGGAAGTTTTGGTCTAAATTTAACAAATTTAAATTAACATTCTTCTTATTTGCAGGTAACTCTTTTTGTGACGAATGTGTTCGAAGCGTTCTATTGGACAGCGAAGACCATGAATGTCCTGATTGCCACGAAAAAGACATTTCGCCAGCTACTTTAATCCCTAATCGGTTTCTACGCAAGTCCGTTGCAAATTTTAAAAACACCACCGGATATGAGAAAGCTCCAACTTACAGGGCTAAAACCCGCTTAGCCAGAGAGGACAGTTTTAAAAAAGACGTAAGATATTTACTAGCTTCAATTGAATTTTACAATATTGTTTCTGGAATTAACCAACGGTGATCAATGCAAAATTATTGTTCCAGATGAATTCACCTGCTGAAATCGACTCAACTGACAAAGATGGTTTGAAAGAGACGCGGAAGACTATTATATCTGAAGCCGATTCAACAGAACATAATAAAGCTGAAGTTGAGGTTTCGAAGGTAGGTGTAGCTGCTTAGTAGTAATAGATTTTAATGTTTCTATTCTATTGTCTAAAATATCTTATTTCAAATCTTTGCAGGACGCTGAACTTGATCCTCCTAAAACCTCAGACAATGAAGGGCCACCAGGAGTGTCGCCCAAGCAATCTCCTGTTCACAAAATCACTAGCAAAATTTCTAAAGGAGATCGAGGACGGGATAGAGGACACCGTAAGTATTATGCCACATATATTAACCATTTTCTATATAGAATCGCTTTTATGTATGAAAACGATTAATACTATAAGTGTCAGGTTATTTACCGTCTATTTACGCAAAGGAAAATTTAGTATAGGTACAGGATTAGTCAAAAAGTCACAGCAACGCAATGTTACCTTTTTTCTAATGGGCAAACCCGTATTTTATTCAACAATTGAATTCTTCTCCTGGCCAAATTATTAAATCCAATTTAAAATCATTGACTAACATACAGGTTGTTCCATCTAAGAAAAATAAACATCGCTTTGCCGTAGCTTTTTGACTAATCCTGTATCCTAAATTTTCTCTTATGTAAATAGACTGGCAAGAACCTTTCAATTTTCGTATTAATCATTTTGTTCTGGCTCACTTATTTTAGGAAATATTCAACCGTTTCCATACATAAAAGCGATCCTGTATATTTTAGTATTATACATACAAGTAATCGTTATTAAATCTATTTTTAATCACTTGTAGGATCCAACAAATCCCCTAAACATCATAGAAGTCGATCTCCCTCACCACGAAAGATGAGAACTCGTCGAACATCACCTTATGTCAACCGGTATGTTCTGTTTTGTATTATTTATTGATTTCAAACGTCTTTGGCCTGATTTCGAAAGTTTTTAACAAATAAATACAAATCTTTCAGAAACTCTCTTGATAGAAATGGAACTCCATTAAGAGACGACACTCCGCCAACGCATAACAGCAATTATCCGCCGCCACCTGATGTGTACTCGAGGCCGCCGGGTGAACTTCTGCCTCCTATTGGCGTCATGTCTCATGGCGTACCTCCGATGCAGGTATTAAGCGCGTTTATATCTTTATTTTACGTATACTGCCGTTTGACTGGACGTTTATCTAATCTCTATTTCTTCAGGGACTTCCTCCAGTTTCCATGCCACCTGGCGCGTTTGTAGCTGGTCAGCCACCACCGTTTCATTCGACCGGTGCTCCTCCAAATTTTCGCATGCCACCACCTGGATCTCAAATTCCTCCTTACATGCCACCTGGGTAAGTCACGTTCTAAGAATAGCCTTGATTCTTACAATGTTGTGCAAATGTGATTCATGTGTTTTGTTTATCCTGATTATATAAATTTTAATCAACTACTAGAGCTTAATTGTCTTTCCGTCACCTCTCATAGTCCTTATCAACATTAAGCAGAAGATGTGTTTAAACCAGAAATTCAATTAATTATGCTCATGCAAAAGATTGTTGATTTTTAAAAACTGGTACAAGAGATGCTATTTCTCTTGAACTACACAAGCTACTAAGCGTAATTGTTCAAAAGCGAAGTTATTTTGAACTGAAAAACACTAAAAGTTTGTAGTTTGTGCAAATTTTTAAATCTGATGATGGGTGGCGCTGTTGTCTTACACGCAGTCAGGCAAATAAATCAAAATAACTGAAACTTAATCCATAGTCATATCTCGGGTAGTAAATCTAGTTTTTTTTCAGACCTTACCAAGTGCCAAACAGGCCAGTTTTCGACCCCATGGGTGGGCCTCCACCTGGAAACTTTGGGCCCAGTTATTCAGGAAGAATGCGTGACTATGGCAGAAGAAGTGGCAGAGATAGAACACCTCCGGGGTAAGTTGGAATTAACCAAATTTGATCATCAATAGCAGTGGAGCGAGACATTTTTTCTTATTAAAAGTTAGGTCAGTTGGTCTTCTTTTGATCCAAAGATCTTGCAGTACTATTTTAATCATGTGCTTACGGGGCACCCTGTACAGTACACTTTTGAATCACATACACAGGCTTTTTGATTGAATTTTATCCAGTTTGTACACACCCATTTTCTCCTCAATTATTTCAAATTGTTAGTTTTACAATTGAAAGGACAGCTTATCAGATATCATTGCTCAGAGGTAACAATACATACCAGTTTTATTTTATAAGTTGGCCAATAATAATGAGCTATGAAAAGTAAATGTGAAATACGAAAAAATAATTTTATTTGTCGTTTTCAGGTTGATTGACGATCCGCTAGCTGCTTTTAATCGAATTCTTAGAGAAAAGGATGAGAAGCGTGCTCGGCTGCAACGTATGTCCAGGCGCACTTGGAGTCGAAGTCGTAGTCGCAGCAGGAGCTTCAGTCGCTCACCCCCACCTATGCGAAGGCGTAGTAGAAGTCCTAAGAGGCGTAGGTCCCGCAGCAGAAGTCGCTCGTTCTCAATCAGCAGGTATGTCCTGAACTAATTCTAACATTACATGTGTTTTTTATTTTTTGCGTTGCTTTCGATAATATTTTAACGCAGTGGATTTTGCTTATTGGTTTTGTGGTTATCGAACATTTAAGAGGACTTATTTTTCTACTTTATAAAGGTGCTTCTTTGGCTTACTGCCGAATGCTGGTAGAGTAGGTTTTCAGCTAAACAGGGTGTCTGAAAATCGGAGCTAATATTTTTCGGTGATTTTTTTATGTTTACTAGGGCATGCCAAACTGGTGATATATGATGGTTGTACGGCGATCTTGCCACCTATATGATATGCATAGATTTAAGGTATTGGGCACTGTCTATTAACACATCTACCAGCAATATGACAACTATGAGAAATATGAGAACTAGAAAAAGTATTATTTTTTCTCGAAGTTGGCTATAATTACGTTTTTGAGCCATGAGGTATTTAGGTAGCAGAGCCCAATTGCCGAAACATTTTCACTTTGTTCGATGGCATTCGAGATACCAATTTGTTACACATCATATTCATTAGATATTGTTTTAAAACCCGTCTCTCTAAACTGCTAGGCATAAATTGAAAGAACGCTTTTCAGTATGCACGATTTGCAGAAGAATAGTAACGTCTTTTGAGATGCCCTGTCGATTGTCGAATGAATCCTACATCTACAGTAGGATTTTGTTGTGTCAATTTTAGGTCGCGTTCTCGCTCGTACTCGCCTAGTCCGAGAGGGTCACCGCTGCCGCCGTTGAGGCGATCCCCCCCTCCCTTGCAAACGAGGAGGGGACCCCCAGGGCGGTTCCGCTCACCTCTCAGATCGCCACCTCTCAGGTACGAGCATGACGTAAATCAATTAGTTGGGTGTGTAGGCGTAAACTCATTACGATTGATTTTATGTTATTAATATTAGAAGAAGGGGGCGCAGGTTGAGCTAACAGCAGACTATGGGTTGTAGTACTGAATTTTCTTTAAGAAACAATTTGCATTAATTCTGGCAGATTCGGTAATCTAGTCTCGAGAGTTTCAGGTGTAATTTAAGTGTCAGACTAAATTTACACAAATAAAACATTTTCTTGACACCAACAAAGGGCTCAAGCCGGTATGAATAGTCAATCGCAAGCGATACGCTGTGATGTCGCCGTCATAAATGCACATGAAGCATTGTTGCCAAGGTTTAGGTAAAGAAAGTCGCCCAATCACAAGCAAAAAGTAGCCCAAATCTCCAAATGTCGACGATGACTTGATGGTGCTTGAAGTTTTTATCGCTCCTTTATTGCACATGTCGCAAATTCAACATTTAAAGGGCATTTTAATAAATTTAATCGCAATTTTTCGTCCAACTTGGCAGCACTGGCAGAAAAATATTCGTTAGCCGAGATGGAAATATCACAATCGTTCGTTCGCCGATCTTACACTTGCTCAGTTTCTTGGCGAAATCTTGGAAATGGTCTTACATATCTCCGACAACCCGCCAAATAAATACTTTTAAGAAGTTGGGCTACATGTGCTTTAGTATAATTTAATTTACTTATATTAATTAAGAACATTTTATGATATTATTATCGATCGAGATCTCGAAATGTATCTAGGATTGGATATAGCGCCGTTGGTTCGGTCCCGACTCGCTCTTCGCTATGTCGGGAGATGTTATCGGCGAATCGCTGGTGATCGACTATGCAAGCGGGTGTCAGTGTGTCATACATTGTAAAATAGGCGCTCACGGTTGAGAAGCCATACCTTTGCTATTAAAAAAAGATACTACGGTAGTAATATGCTTGTCAATGAATCATACCAAATTTCATCGATGCCAGATTATATCATAAATAAACGGTTGCACCCTAAACCAGCTATAGTAGAAATAAATCTAAAAACTCGAAGTTTTGGCGGCAGAATATAACTTCGATTATGCATAAAGTGTATTTAATGTGGGTTAACATGTGAAGAAGTAATGTAGATTAATTCGTAACTAAAGCCATAATTTTATCATTTGCGATATATCTGCTGCAGAACTGCGAAATATGAGTATGACGATCTGAGAATCTTAAACAAAAAAAAATACGCGTAACCAAGAAAATGTCTCAACAGTAGAAGGAAATAACATACGGTCATTAATGTGGACAAGTTTAGTCGAAATATACCCAACGCTTTTAAGGCGATCGGCTTTTTAGCTCTTTCCATTATAGTTATGAGCATTTTTTGTTGTCCAATTTTCATTTCATGCCAGTTGATTGCGTAGCAAGCCTCAGTTATACGATTACTCTAAGAATATTTACAACAAAATTAATTGGAATTTAATTGGTCGTTCTTACCTCCTCCATTAACATGTGACCATACCAACAGTACAAAACCAATTGAAACATCATGCAGAAGAGGTAGACTACCAATAGGCCACTTTGTCCGCTTTCAGAAGCAACCTAACAATTAGCATAATGTGTTCAAATCTAAATGCTATAAACCATCGTACCACTAATAGTTGAAACCCAGTTAAGCAAATCACAATAGCACTACACATAAACTGCACTAGAATTCCATAAGCGAAAATGTTTTCAATTGCAGAAACATATCTGAAACATTACATAGCATTTAATAAAACTCCTGTGCGAAGAGAAATATGCTTACTTGATTATCTCGTTGTAGTATCGAACGCAGTGTTTAATGCGATTTTCTAACGGCCGTTCCCCCTCGTTGGTGTTGTAATGCAAATCCTTAATTTTTTTGCGAAGTATGCGAAATAGTGTTGTTGCTATGACTGTATGTTTGGTAAATAGACAATCCATTGCTATAAAACAAGAGTAACTAATGGGTTTGTGATGGTTTGAACTTCGGTAAAAGGTAGTTGCTTGTTTGAAAACCTTCTAGTAACTTTGCTCTTCTTAACTGCTAAGTCTTTGTTTGATGTCCAAAATGATGAATTTTGAAGATGTTTGCTACAGGGACAAAAGGTTCTCCAGTGGCAAAAGTAACGCAATTGAACTAAAAGCGAAAGGTAAATTAGAAAACTAAAACATTATAATTCGCATTTTCGTCAGATAGAGTACAACTTCTTCATCGACAAGAAATCCATTTTCATTCTAAATAAACATTAATACGCATTGGTTTAAATATGGCTCCAATTTAGCGGTCGCAGATGGATCGAAATTTATCTCCGCCAAAAATTCGCCCAAGTGCGAATCTTTCTTGGTTTGGAAATGTATTCTCCTGATGGCGAATATAATTTCCTTACATTTTGCCATCATTGGTATTGAAAAAATTGGACACCTATTCCCCAAAAACTGTGGCTTTTGTTCAGATCCGAGGTTCGTTATGACCAGAGACAGGTTTGACCTGGATGTTTAGAAGTCTTCTTTTTTTCATTGAAAAAAGTTATAAGAGCGGTTTTTCCTTAATATCACAAAGTTTTAATTGTTTAGTGCTGTACTTCCATTGTTTTCAAAATATCTCGTCTTACGTAAATTCTATAAATGTTTTCTTTTAAAAAAATTGAATCAAAGGTCAAATTTGTCACCCGGAATTTCAATAACTAAAATTAATGTATGTTTATAGAAAACCCTGGCACCACAAACTCCTGCACTTACCCTGTGCAATACTCGTGTATATCTTTAAAATTGACGGAACATACTCAACTGTTATAATGTATTTACTATCATTTCAAATTATTTTTGCCTTATATGGAATATAGAAGATTATAGGCAAAGCCATATAGAAGAAGCGGCAATTAAAGCAATACGGAAAAAATATCTTTGTGGACTCAGCGCAACTGTTAATTTTGGCTTTTAATTTCTACAATGTTTCGGATCACTAATTAGATTTAGTCACTAAAATAATGCTAATTAAAGGGTTAATAAGACCATGATTGCTTTTACTGTCCAAAAATCCAAGTTGAACTTTAATTAGCAGGAGTTCCAAATATGTTAGCCCTATTAATTATCGGTTAATTAATGTACAGTCTATGCCGTCTGTGAAGTTAATTTTAATACATATACGAAATGTTTCCCATTTCTTTAAATGAAGATAAGTGTTCTTTAATAATATGCTTTGCTGAAATAGTTATTTGAAACTAAATTGTTTTGTGTTTTAGGTATATACATCTTTCCTTAACATTTCTTCGTTGAAATTGAGTTTTTTGACAATGAACATTAGTCAAGGAATAAGCACAATAGAAGTGTTGTTTTTTTAAAATTTGGCATTACCTGATTATTATTGACTTTATCGTTAATTTATATTCTCATTCAAGTTATTGGGTCTATGTTTCAATCAAGTTCTTAATTTAATTAACTAGTAGGTATCAGATTTTTAAATTACATTCAGTTAAATATAAACATATTTAGATTAACAAACTGTAATGCGGATCGAAAAGATATCGGGTATTCAAATGAATGTTTAGTAAATCGTTCATATTAAGGAGCTTAAAACTGTAAATGTTTTAAAGAACTCCTGAATGAAAAAGTGTTCCAATTGTTCGTAAGTTCTACTAGAAAAAATGTTTTATTTTTTACGAATTATTCCTGCTATACTGACCTCCATTGTTCCAAGCGCTAACTGCAACTGTGGCCACTTCTCCGCCATAAATAAGAACAAAGTAGTCATCAGGATTAAAAGGAAATTTCCCTGGGAAGGGATACATTTTTGTCCCAGTCATTATTCCGTTTACAGCAGGAACTACTCCATATAGCAAAGTTACTCCGAAACAAGACACTAAAAATATGTTGAGGACTTTCTGGCACCTTTGAAACGATGTCTTCATAATGTCCATCTCTGCGACTGTGACCCTGGTAAAAATATCTTGTGAAATCAATTCATCTAGCGTTGCAACTTTTCTGGAGTTCCGGTGAAAGTTTACCAGTTTATTAACAAATCCCACTTGAGTCATAGAGAAGAGCAATACTTCCGTTATTGTTACTATATCAGTTATTGAAAGCACAAAGTTCATTACAACTGCCATTTGGGCAATTGTAATAATATAAGCAAAAACGGTAACTAAGTTTACTATAAATGTACGTTTGATTCGCCTCGGATAAAAACCTCCGATTCCAAGGCGGATGTGTTCGCCTTCGAGGAAGCTGCAGATGTCGTAAATCTGAAGCGCCTGGAAAAAGCAAAAAAGTAATCAATATGATAAACATTACAGTATAATAAAACTAGAAATGTAAATGCGCTTTACTAACGGCTGACTATGCATTTATAAGAACAGGTATAATTAATTGACTGAATTAGCAACAGGAAACTTAATGGGTGACTATTTCAGACTTTCAGACAAAATTTTAATAATAATTTTAATAAACTTAAATTTTAGGTCATTAAAACTACGTTATGTTTTATTATGAAATCAGATTAGTTGTTACCTAAGGTTTTGTTATCACCTAATTTATTTTCCTGGTGAAATTTAATAAATATCATATTTATGAACAGGTGATTTGGGTTGCGAACAAGATAGTTTAGAAGGTTTGAAATGGGAGGTTATTTGGTCGCATACCAAGGCAAATCAATGTGTTATATAACTGCTGAAATGAATGAAGAAATGAAATGTTTCGTACTGTTACTGTCAACTTATCAACAATTAATATTGAAGGACTGGATTTAGAGGCTCCATCTCAATAGTACCTGTTGATTGCATAAGACGAGCAGCATCTCTATTTGTGTGCATGCAGTCAATAGCTTTAACGTATAGTTTATCTGTGATGTCTATTGCTATTAAAGCCAATATCAACTTTTCCAATTTATTGATCAACTTTTTTTTGGTTTTAGGCGACGCATTGATCGTATCGATTTCGAGCGCGACTATGAACGAGGCAGTTTTCGAGAGAAACCAAGAAGTCGAAGATCTAACAGCCGAGATCGGTTCTACAACGACCGAGAAAGGGAATACGATCGAGTACCAATTAGAAGTAGCAGAGGACTTCCTCCACCCTGTGCTGCACCTCCGCCTCAACAATGGGGAGGACAACGCGATGTGTATTATCCAGAACCTCCACCCTCCGGATTTCAGACCAGGTATTTAATTTTAACCGTGAGTAAAATAGCGATTAAGCGTTTGATGAATTGGTTTAAAAGTGCTGTGTATTGTCGATTGAGCGTAATGGGGAAGTCGGCTGCGAACTACAGTGAACTTTCTGCGTGTCCAGATGTTCTATGTTTTAGGCGTTGTTTATATTCATTTATTTTTTCGTTCTGATACTGCAGTTTACTACTCTGCAAACCGACAATGCATTTGTTAGCATTATATTGATCATTCTGGAGTTGACAAGTGCAGACCACGAAGCTGATATTAATGAGTTAATCGTGTGGAGATGTTTCTGTACTGCGTAATTGATCACCTGAAATAGTTGATGTTAGTTCGTTATATTTTTCATTCTTTTTTCTGTTCTGGTCAGTTTTGTGCAAACACTTATGGTGAATAACAACAGGCTCTCAGCTATACGATATCAGTTCAATATCACAAATTTAAAAATCGTTGAAACACTAAATGGCTTGTTTGCCTTTACATACAGAAATATACCCAAAAATGAACTCGCAAGGCCTTTATTTCGAAATCGATTTTGAAAATAACAGTTTTAAATCAATTTTACTTTTACAAATAAATATTAATATGAAATTTATTTGTTCAAATGGGATCTACAGGGTGCTTTGCTGCTGACATCAAAGCATTTTGTTTCATTTTGAAATTCTGGTTATGTTTATGAAGTTATGTTTATAGATCTAGTTTAGAGCTCGATATTCATAGAACTCAAAAATGACAGAAAAAGACAAAAGCTGGAATATGTACCGACTAGCCAACTGGACGTTTTTTTTTTATAAATTATAGACGTTTATAAAATAATATCAAAACCAATGATAACTAAATGCATCGCTTTGTTTAAAATCATATTTTTAAACAAATTCCTCTGTGGGATATGTAGCTTAGTACTCAATATGACGCACTATCATCGATGAATTCACTAAAAAAATAATATTAATTAAATTAAAAATTAAATTAAGATTAATTAACACGAATTTTGTACAATCAGGAACATTTTCATAAGACTTTTCTTGCTTCTATGTGGAAAATACTTATGATTTATTGTGTTTATATATTGTTTACAAATGTTGGGTTAAAATAAGCTGGTTTGTAAATAAGGTGGTTTAACGAGTGATTTTCGAACGCTGTGATTTGTAATCCAACTGTGATACTTTGTGGGCGACCATTTTTTTAGTTTAACTTTATTTGGTAGTACCTACTATATAAACCCGTACTGTGGCGGTTTTATATTTTTTTTATAATCGCGGACGAATGGATCTACAAATGCGTTTTACATGTGTGTTTCACTATACTTATTTGTAAATGATGAAACTGAAAATAAAAACACTTTGCAGATTATTCTGTGTTTACTTAATCCTAAGCAGTTTTAACGGAATACATCTTGGAATGGTGACAGTCAAGCAGACGCTCAAAAGGATATTGTAGTAATTTATTATCGAGGTCCCAAAATATTTAATAATCATTCTGATATGTTAGATCTTAATATTTGGATGGTTTTAAGGAAAAAAGTAAGTATTTTAAATAACTGCTTGCCATCGCATTCTAAACGATAACTGCATTTTTTGTGAAAATATCTGACGGTACTAAATATTTTTTTATAAATGATAATTTTCCAAATAACAATCAAGGAAGTACTTTTTTGTTTACAATCATGCAAGTATTAAGATACTTAATATCGACCAGTAATTATAAATCTGCTTGAGTACCTGCTAAACAGACGGATTTGGGTTCTAGTGTACTGTTGATTGCGCTGAAATAATTACATTATTTTTTTGTTGGAATTATTAGATGTCACTGTCAGTTCAAGTCATCTTGCAAGTTTATTTTATTTGTTACCAGTTTTTGTTTTATGTTGATGATTTGTGTATTTATTAACCATGTGATGGTTATTACACCATTAGTTGGAAAATATTATTAGGTACTTTTAAAATTATTGTTGATCATTTTGACAAACATTTTCTATATTGCTTAATGCAATTTAGTGTGTATATAATTCTAAAGGTTTTGATACTCTTGAATATAATGTAAGCCAAACGTTTGCGACATTCACGTTGTCATTAGGGCCGCCGTCAATACTTTTGCGCACGCAAAATCTCCAAAATTCCAGTCAAAACATGCCAAGAAACAATTAAAATTAGTCAGTAATTACAGATCAATTTTTAAAGTTGTAAAAAAACATACTAAAACGTTTTAAAAAGATCGAAATAAAGTTTAAAAAATGACTAAAATTGATGTTTGAACTGGTCACCTACACAGGTAAATGTTTTGTTCTTCCATATAACTATGTGAGCGACCAGTTCAAACGTCGGTTTTATTTTGGTCTGTTTTAAAATGTTTTGTACTATTTTTACATTTGACTGTAATTTGTATGTTTCTTGACATGTTTTGTTTGGATGTTTGTGCAAAATTGTTGACGACAGTACTGACGATGACGTGATTGTCGAAAGCGCTTGGCCTTGCATTGTATTCAAGGGTATAAAAATCCTTTGATATATACATATACACATTAAATACCAAGCTGGTTTCATTGAGTTTTATCTAGTGCGTACATACCTTCAACTTTGCTCTCTTTCAAAACAATACTGTTTCGTTAAATTCCATATTTCCTAAATATTACACGTAATTTTTTTTCTGCTACTTGTTTGTTATGCCAATTAGTTCAAAACTGTATATACAGGAATGTTAATAAATTGATTGTATTGTCGAATCATTTTTAATTGTGCTCGATTAGTTGCCCGTTCCAAAAAAAATGTTAAAAATGAATAATATTCTGAAGTTAATGAATGATACCGGGGGTCCTACTGGGAACCACGGCGATCAATATATAGCAAACTATAATTAGGAGAAATTTGATTTGATTTGAAGATTTGTACCAAACTTCCTGTAGGAAGGAGGGAACAACTTGCTTATTATTATATATATTATTACTTTTTTGCATTCTACTCCAAATTATACATATATTTTATTTATTTTACAATAATTTGTAATTGATTGTAATATTTTAATACAAACGAAGATTATTTAAACTTATTTCTAATTTATGGACAATGTAATAAAGTTATATCAGGAACATGTGACAAGTTACGTGAGATATAAATTCCATCCGTACGCGTTTTTGATCGCGTTTAAACATCTAAGAGAAACTGATTTTGCAAGAAGAGCGGTATTGTGTGTATTTCTCATGATTTGGTAGCAAGGAAACAAGATCTGGACAGACATAGCTAAATTTACAAAATTGGTGCCTTTAATCGACGCAATCCCATTGTTGCAGCAAAACCTTTTCTGGATTACTCTAGACAAAAAATGTGAACATTTTAGAATATTTTCTAACCGACTTAGACAATTTGCTGCTCGCTGTTCCTATTATTGCCACCCTTATTGAAACCTATTATTTCAGTATTATCAGACTACCTCATCGATAATTGTCTACAATCGCAAAAAAGGTCCTATTCTTTGCCCACCCCGCTCGCCATATCTTTCAGTGCTAGATTTTGTTTCTGGGGAACAATTAACGATCGAGTCTGCAATATTCCTCTGACAACTATGGAAGATTGCAAGCAGCGAGTGAGGAATGCATTTACAAACTTAAGATCCGAATCAATAAGAAAACCTACTCATGAACAAGTGCTGCTCAGATGCGAAAAATGTTTGGATGTTGAAAGACATCCGTTTGAACATTTCCTGAAAAGCCCTTTTTTTAATCGAAAGTTCTCCAGTTTTACTGTTTTTCTTTATAAATTCAACATGCAGTGTTCTTTAGACGTATGGAAAATTCTTGAAATTTTCTATAATTTGTTTAACTGCACAAAGTGGCGGCTTCTGTTTTTCCGGATATCAAATGGTAAATTTGCCACTTGTTCTTGATTTAACTCTATTCCATTCTCTATAAATAATAAAGTTTAGATAGTCTTCGTTTGTATAATTTAAGCATGATTGTTAATTATTTTCAAGCGGTGAGTCTAAACATTATTTTAGCATTTGATTGCATTAAAAATTACCACTTTCGTAATGGCAACTTAGAGGGACTAGCGTTTAAAATTCAGCTCGGGAAATAGCCATATGAAAACATTAAATTGACAATATTTCGGAAACTAAACACTTTTCGAGTAGGCAATCTTACACAAACTGAGCGCTATTTTTAATACTAAATATGGTAGAATTATCAAAATTGGGGGTTTTCTCAATTTTATTTTAAAATTTAGTTTAAAATTAATAATTAATAGTTATCAAAATGTTGTCGAAGTAATGTTAAAGTGAATCCTCTTCAACAAGGAATGCGACTCAAATTAAGATTTCCTTTATTATTATTCTAGTTCCTGCAACTCTTAATTTTTCAATACGAATAGGATTTTAAAATTAAGTTTAAAGAACAATGACATATTAAGAACGTAATATAGAGTTTTCTTGGAAAGTGTTTACTTCAGATGAGATTTATTATGATATAATGAAAAATAACCTTTATTTGGTTTAGCTACTTGCGAGACGAATCGATGATTCCCAAGTCTAAAATATTAAAAATGACGATTTATGAATACTAATTATTATAAAGCATTGTTATTATGTTTAATATAAGGCTGTTGACTTGTGTAAGTTTTGCAAATAATAATAGTCAACAGAAAAGACCTAAGAAACTGAAAAGCGGAGCTCGACCCCAAACCTGATCGGTATGGGAAGCAAGCAGTTGGACTACAATCTTGGAACCGAAATTTCCGTAAACCTTCTCGTTTTTACATGTTTTAATTATAAACTGACATCACTTAATTACCTGCTTAAGATTTGCCATTCTAATGACGATTTCTTTTTGTTAGGTTCCCGCAGCAGATTCACCACATTCAACCAGAGCGAAAATACGAACTGATTGCCCCACCGGGAGTTGAACAGCCACCAATTCCAGGCCTCGAATCTGAACTGCCCCCGCTTAACGAATTTGATAAGCCGCAAAAGAAATTGTCGCCGCGCAAAGAAAGGCACAGCCCTAGAGAGCATAGGGATCGAAATAAGTCCATTCCTAGAGAACACGAGCGGGAAAAGGATAGACGCGACAGGGATCGCCGCAAGGATGAGAAACGTTCTCGATCCAGATCCAAAACTCCAGAAAAGTGGAGAAATCCTAGTCCCAAGTCCAGCGGTACACCTGAACGGCCAAGGAAACGACGATCTTCGACCGATTCCAAAGATGACAAGCGAAAGGACAAAGACCGGCATAGAGATCACTCCGAGGAAGATAAAAAGAAAATAAAGGACAAGAAAAAACATAAAGACAAGAAGGATGACAAGAAAAAGAAAAAGGATAAGAGAGACAAACACAAGTCTAAGGATCGCAAAGATAAGAAGGAGGAATTTAAGCAAATAGTTCCCAAAGCCGTGGAGGAAACGGAAGAAACTCGCAAAAAAATCGAAGAAAAGAAGAAGCGGAAGGGAGAAGAGGAATTAAAGAAACAGCAGGAAGAGCGCAAGAAAGAGGAACGGCGCCTAAGGTTCATTGAAGATGAAAAACGCAAGAAGGAAGAAGAAGCCAAAAAAGAGGCGTCCAAGCAAAAAGCGATCGAAGAAGCTAGGCAGCTTCTTGAGAATGAAGAGCGCCAGAAACTTGAAGTTAAAATCGAGGAGAAGCAAGAACAAAAGAAAATTGATCTATATGATGAAGTAATTCCTACACAAGACCTGGCCAAAGAAATTCGTAGTGATTTTAAGTCGCCTGAACCTTCAGCTAACATGCATCAAGCCGCAGAGCCAGCCGAAAGTACATTGGAGCTTTTCGATTCTATGATACAAAAAGATATAGAGGATGGCGAAGTAACGGAAGAGCAAGAAAAGTTTCAAGTTGCGGCGAAAGATGGTGAGGAGGAAGACCCTGGTATTCTCGAGTTGCATTCTGACATGGACATTAAATTAGACGAATCGGACATCCTTGCTCCGTTTCCGGAGAAATCTAAATGGGAAGTGGATGAAGATGGTCAAATTCAAAACAGTCCTGGCGAACTGAGGGATTTCTCAGACTCAAAAACTAAGGTTTCAAGTGAGGTGCTGAAACGTGCTGAAAACGTCATATTTGCGCGAGCCATTAACTCAATTCGGCCAATAGAAATTAAGAAAATAACCGGAGAGAGGGCCAAGTTTTTCGCGGACGAAAAAGTGGTTGAGGAAGCAAAGAAAGTTGAGGCCCCTGTTGAGAAACCTCCAAGGATTCCCATTAAAGATAGGCTGGGTAGAAAAGTAGATGAACCAGATTCAAAAATAGTCGCTCAACGAAGAAGCTCATCTCCATATGGTCGTCGGGATAGACGGATGGAAGTAGATAAACGGCATGATAGGAAACGTACCCGAGGACACGAAACAAATCGAGAAAGAGACAGGCATAGAAGTCGAAGTGACAGAAGCATCGACAAAAGCAAGAAATCTAGAAAAGATGATAAAGACAAACAAGACGAGAAAATCAGAGAAAGGCGTAAACGAACACGTTCACGCAGTCCCAGTGAAGATCCAAAAAAGAAGAAAAAGGAAAAAGAAAAGGAGAAAAAGCCTAAGAAGGAAAAATCTAAAAAGCATGATACTGAAAAGAAAGTAAAAGACGAACGCGGAGAAGAAAAACATAAATCCACAGTTGATAAACGCAAGGTTACCTTAGATGAGGCTAACTTTGAGCCTGATTATGACTTGGAATTACACGAAGATGAATTGAGCGAGAAAGATTCCAAGAAGGGGAAAGAAGCTCGAAAGACTGACAGATCCGATGGGGAAAGCAGCAGCTCTGAGTATTCGAGCTCCAGTTCTGAAGATGAACGGAGGCGCAAGAAGCGCAGATCGCACAAAAAGAAAAAGAAGAGAGATAGTAGTAGCAGTGAATCCGAGTCCAGTAGCCAATCGAGTGATACAGACAAAGATAGAAAGCGCAAAAAACACAGAAAATCTAAAAAGAAGAAGAAGAAGGCCAAACACAAGTAAGATGTTATTGTGTAAATGTCTATTCTGATTTGTAAATTTTGTAACGAATATCTACAGTTAATGTCATTACCTAAATGTTATTAAGCGGACCGCATATATTGTAAAAAATTTAGCTTGACCCAATCAAGGTCTTTAACTAGCGACCTGCAACTCTGTCACTAATTTGTCCGTCAGACTAGAGTAACTACTCGCATTTGACTCGCAATCTATTAATTTATTGTAAATTTTGTGGGTTAGAAAATTCGCCTGATTCTTTATCGTTTGATTAGGTAAATTTCTTACTCTCCGATTTCGTTGTATTTATTTTCCTTAAATATGGTTTTCCAATAATTGCTACTGCAAGTCCGGTTGTCTATTCAATTTATACTATCAGGTGAATAATTGTAGCAGGTCTTGTAATGTTGATAATGTAATAAAAGGATGTAAAAAGGTTTAATTTTTTTATTGAATCGTCCCTTATACTGTGCAGATTCGTGCGGTTAGTTGTAAACGGATTTTATTGTTTAGGTTCAAGATTTTTGAAACATTTTGATTACAGAAAAATTATTCTTCATTCAATTATCAGTTGCATTTCCTAAAAAAGCAAAAAAGGGAAACTATTTATTTGATGACTGTTAAAGGTGGTTTTCTTTTAATTTCGTTTTGATTTTTATTAATGCTCAGTAAAATTCACGTTAATTATCCATATTCTACAAAGAATGTCAAGCAGTTTACGTAATATGTGCTAATTAAAAAAGTGTTGATTTCTTGTCTTTTCAGGATATTTCAGGAACCAAGTCGGGTACCTAAATTTTGAAAACGGTAATGAATAGGCAATCGAGTTCTGCCCAATTTTGCCCATTTAACGGATTCTCTATCTTTAAAGATGTAGAAGTTACCCATACAACGATTCAGAAAATGGCCACCCTGTATGTTCAATTATAAAAATTTTACGTTTAATTCTTTTACCCGTTCAGTTAATAATCTCATAAAACGTAACAAAAAACCTTTTATTAGAAGTTTATTTGCTACATAGGTGAAACCCCCTTTTTTGTGTTATTAAATATAAAAAAAAATGTATCCACACCTTTTTGAAATATCTTTCTATAGACAAATGCATCCATCATGTGAGTACGTGATTAACTAGTCCACGCGTAGGTAAAAGGAAATTCAATTTAATTATGGCCTGAGAAAGTTTGATAAATGCTACTGTTTTAATTATTGAATGTGGAACAGCGCAATTAGTAGAACATATGCCAATTTCACAACTTCAGCTCAAACTCTCTGATAATTGCGAATTAAATTTTAATTTCAGTTGAAAAGAAGACACAAATTCATCAGTAAAGTTTCAATAAATTGGTCCTTATAATATTGTGGTTTGACCTTGGGCGGCTTTTGAAAACTTAAAGCAACGAATGGTGTATTAACAGAAACCAATTTTTAAAATTGTTTGTTCAATTTTATTCATACAACTATAATACTGAAGTTGTACAATAAATAAATAGGTGAAATTGAAATAATGCTGTTATTCACTGCATATAGAGTGGATGGTATGCTTGGCTGCCTTATACGTGTTAAACATCAGCATTGCCACAGTCATTGGTCCAACTCCTCCGGGTACCGGAGTTATATACCCGGCTATTTTACTTACACCTGAAAATTTACTTATTTTAATTTAATGTACTAAAGATCTAAAATTACGAATATTTTACCTTCAAAGTCCACATCTCCAACTAGTTTCGTTTTGCCGTTCTCTGTGGTTATTCTAGTAATTCCTACATCAATAATACATGCGCCAGGCTTAACCATTTCTGGTTTAATCAAATTTACTACTCCTGCAAAAAAATGTCGTTAGCAGCGTTAGCTAATATTTTCCCGTGAATTCTCTATAACCTGTAGCACTTATTATAATATCGGCTCGTTTGGCGAAAAATGCTAGTTCTTCAGGTGGAGTGTGACGATGGCATATTGTTACCGTAGCTTCGCAGCCGGGTAATTCATTATTAGCATCGGAATGTAGAAGAATGGCGATTGGAAGTCCTACGTTTTTAGAACGACCACAGACCACCACATTTTTTCCAAAGGTGTCAATTTTATACCTATAAAACGAAAATATTGAAATAATGTTACTTAATAGTACAAAAATTTAACTACCGTTTTATTAGTTCATAAACAGCCAAAGCAGTCGCAGGAACAAACGTATCGGTATTCAGCGTTAATCTACCAATATTTGTTGTATGAAATCCATCAACATCTTTCAAAGGATCAACAGCATTGCATACATTTCGCTCACAAATATGCGCGGGTACTGGCAACTGCACTAGAATACCATCAACAGACGAATCATGGTTGAGTTTATGTATTTTGTCGATGACTTCTGATTCGGTTGTAGTATTCGGTAACCGTATTGTTTGTGAATTGATTCCTAGAAATAGAAAAAGCATTAAAAGAATAGTAGAATTAAAGCGCTTTAAAAAAATACGCAATCGTCTCCATGCCCTGTGTGTCTTAAATGTGAGTTGAAAAGATGTTAAATATGTTTTTTTAACAATTAGATTTTATACCGAAAATAAGTATATTTTCCAATGTGAAAAGGGTAACCGAGCATAAAACAAATAAACTTATAAAAAAAATTCCTAACGCTTTGAATTCAGTGTAGGACTTGAGTTGGTAAAAAGTTACAATGTGAATGATTTGATATTTAAGTTCATTTAAGGTACGCTATTAAATATAAAAATTAACATGGGTCGGAGAATGGGAGTTAACAAAATTATGAAAACTTTTTATTTCGTAATGATTGAATTTTTTAAAGCTGGCAATAAGCCGATCTGTGTAGAGTTTGCGCTTAGATTGACTAAGAACTCAGGCATTGCAAATCCATAAAAATAAGAATGTTATTATATTCTCCTTAATTATGATATTCCTATCTTTCCTAGGTTTCAGTCAAGCTGTGAAGTAAAAAATGTAGAAACATCGTTTATTTCATTACGTTTCGGCGAGACAACAGCGCCATCATCAGATTTAAAATTTTACACAAACTCATGATTGGTAAAAATTATCGTCCTTTTAGGTCTTGTTGAAATTTTTCGATTATTCACTCAACTAATAAACAAACAATTTTATAGAAAAATAAATCAACGTTTTTTGGAAATAAAGTTGTTTCACATACAAGTTTAATTGTATGTGAAATGTTTTTTAAATTAAATTAATAAAGTCCGAAAATTCCAAATGAGAAGAATCGTCAATCAAAATGCAACTTTCTAAAGGATTAAACAGCAATTAATAGTTACATAAAAAAAATGTTTCAATTTAATAATTTTTTATGTTGGGATTTTCCGAGACATAAACATACACTTCCCGAAACACTAGAGTTGTCCTTATTTTGACGTGATAATTTAGATCTAAAGTTGGCAATTCTAAATAGCACGGTTTTGAAACATTCGAAATAACTCTTTATAATACTGTTTATCAATCTGTAATAAAAGACGTGAGGAAATTCTGTCTTTTGAACTTGTCTTCACTGTCTTTTGAACTAAAATTTTTGAAGCGAAATACCCAACAAACAGTTTGTGAAAAAAGACATTGGTATTGAGAAGACTACTGGAAGTCCTACCAAATAAAGTCAAGCCTGCTGAAAATCCTTCAGAAATTGGATTGGATATGCAAGGGTAATAAAAGAGTAGAAAAGACAAGGAAACAACCGCTTTTACCAGCTCTGGGCGGTGCATGAGAAAGCAGTTTCCAATCGTCATCGACAGCAAAAAACCACATTGAATTGTAATGAAAAATTGCCACTGGTCAAGAAAAATAAATTGTTGCTAAAGCCAATTATGACCAAAAAATAGAGGCAGATAAACCTAACTAAAGTTGCAAATATTGATTTAATGAAGTTTTTTTTGTGTCCCAAAAAAGTTACTGCTTTCGGCAAAACGGCCAAAATGTACTTCTGAACGCAGTAAATATTTCTTATTCCAAAAATTATTTGTCCGCTTAAGCCGCCAAAAATCCCTTTCATTTCATTGATTTTAATGTCCGAGGTTATTTGTTTTTGACTCAAAACCAAGTTAATAATAAGAGCATCCTTTACGGCCTAGAAAGATAAAGATAGATACATTCATCCAGCCAGCAGTAAAAAACGTACCATTTCCATGAACATTTATACACACATTTGTACATCATGGGTACATTTATAGTATCATGCGCCAAAAATGTATGTTTAATAAATTATTAATTATAATATTAAATTATCACTAGTTTTCATACTTACTCACCAACTTCTTTTGCCGCTATCATTTTGTTTGCTACATATTTTTCACTTGCTGGGTCCTCTCCGACTAATATAGCGATTAGACATGGATTGCGATGGCCCTGCTTAACCCATTCCTCCACTTGCGCTTTAACTTCTGTTCGAATTTCCTGAGCAATTTTCTTTCCATCAATAAGTTTAGCTGCTTTCCTGTAAAGAATAAAAAATATCATTAGAACATGATGCAAAAGAAAATTTATTTTTAATTTGGCTATAGAAATTAGGTACTGGAGTAAGGGCAAACCTACATGAAACGATAGTTTCTTTGCCATTGCAGTACTTCCGGCATTCTGAACAAATCTATCCAATTTTACAGTAATGCAATTTAAGTGATTATGACAAGCCGAAGTGATGTGATTCTTGCTTTTATACTGCAGACACTGATAATAAGAAATGGAGTAATCAATTGGGTATTAAAAACATTGGCCAATCGTAATAAATTTGCATCAGAACTCTTATCTTTGTAAATTACCACATTATTATTGTTGTTTGTCTCTTGGTCATTCTTTGTCTCCCACTTACACAATTATAAATAAAATAATTACGGCTTGATGAGGCATATAAGTGTATTGAGGAATATTTTAAGCACATAAAGATGAAATCAGCAATTACTCAGTCACTAAGTAGTTGCATCTAACTAGATAAAGTTAATGAATAAGATGAAGAAACTGGCTCCAAGAGCTGGCGGCTTCATCTCTACCCCTAGCACATAATTGCTAGCAAGCGCATAAATGTCCAGAAAAATTCATATTAAATTCTTACTAGTTATTTTAAATAAATAATTAAAAATATTTTAATAGAATTTATCCGCTATGATGTAACCGAACTGGTAAAATCTGGATTAAATGGAATTTGATTTCATATGTTTGCCTTTTTTGTGATTAATGACCGTGTGATTAATATGTATAGATGACCTTCTGATTGGAACTTACTTGCAATCGCTAAGGCAAGATCGAACATGCATGGGCCTATTTAATTTACATGAAAATCGTTTCAGCGTTACATTTGCTATTCTTGGGATCACAATCATATTAAGTTCCTGTTAAATATCAATATCAATTTCATCCTTTGCAGGCCTTCTAGGTAATACCAAATTCTAGAAATATTTCAGGTTATGAACTTATAGTGAAAGAAATATTAATTATTTTTTATATATTCGTGTTATGGATAATTATGGAAACAGCAACATTAATTGCAGCACATAAACTATTTCACAAGGTTCAAATAATATAGCGATAAATCTCTGCTGAAGCCAAGTTAAGGGCAAAGGAAGTTTTCACTGGGGAATTAAAATGTAGGTAATTATTTTATGGATTTTCCTATGGAATTACAAACGAAAATATACATTTTCTGCATTAAAAAATAAACAAAAATGTCATGATAAAGTCATTATAAAAATATAGCCACCAGCTGATTTAGGCGAGAATAGGTCGAGAGTAATGAAAGAACTTACTGATCAGTAGCCATTCTTGCAGGGAATTTGGTGGAAAGTAGAAATTTTACTATTAACTATTTAAGGTACATTCATGTTGTTTTTTATTGCAATGTTGCCTTAGCAGGTAGTAGGTACCCATTAATTTTCTCGGAGTCTTTCTTTAATTGAATATATGGTTAATACATCTCATATGAATTTCTAGATTCTAAATTTCTTATCAAATGCAGGCATAAAATCTGCTAATTGACTAAAGTTGAAGCATACTAGACTTTTGAAGAAATAAATGATATTGTGGAATAGATAATTATTCCTAGAATATTCAATGTTTTGCCACACACGACAACAAGGGGAAACCAGTTCGTTACTGGTGCCAAGAGTGGTACTCAACAGTACCGCAGGTATGAATCGATCTGTACGATTTTCATGTAATAGACATCGACATCGGAAAAATCTTTTCGTATTACTAATTCCCTTTACGAAACTTTCCCATAAAATCCACCCTAAAATCTGCTATTCCTAATTATTTATAAAACTTATGCGGCCGAAGTTTGAACAATATATCATAGTACCTAGTCAAAATACAGCGTTTTGTGGTTCCCAAAAAAAATCTGCAAAGAGATGCCTTTGTGGGTTTTTGAAAATACTTTTATTTGCCACTAAAGAGCGCCAGATAATTTCTGTTATTACTTGAACACATTTTTCTTAACTCTAATCTTTAGTTTAAAAAATTTTAAAAAAGACAGGCCGGTTTGTCCTCAAACATCAAAAATATACTTATATGACAATGTTTTTGTTGCAGAAAGTTGCAGTAGGTATTAATCATTTTAGATAATATCGCCTGAAAATACCAGAATCCAAAAATGTTCAGTTTCTGATCTGGATGACCTTTTAAAGAACTGGTGGTTTAAAACTAAAGGTTTTATGAATCAATCGGGTTTAATTTACAAAAAACATTGTTTGATTTAATAACAGTGTTTAATAAACTAAAAATTTAGGTGGAAACTTCATAACTTCTATCGTACCAAAACTGTTTAGTCCCAGAGACAAGAAATAAAAATTATCCCTTGTCTCTGTTTAGACTCAGTACCAACAGATTGAAAAATATCTTCAAAACATGTATTCCAAGAAAAAAGTATATGATTGTTTGTTAAAAAATACCTGGACCTCTCGTTGACTTGTTTAGGCTAATCGAAATAGAATGGCAAAATAAAAAAGTTTTATTCCAGATCACGGAATTAAATTCTGTGGTGCGTATGGTTTTTAAAACTTTGTTTTCATTTAATTTAAATTAAATAATTAAATAAAGTAAATTTAATAATAATTAATTTACATAAATGTAGAGAAACGTGAAACAACTGTGAATGTTTAAATTTACATACATATGTATACATATTATATATAATATGATCTGTTAATCTCGAGATTAACAGATAATACATATAATTATTCCTAGGGACTAACATATTCGTAATAAGATTACTACATATGGGAAAACCCTTGAAAAAATAAAAACAATTTCAAAGTAAGAAGATTTCTCTTACAAAAATAGCAGCCTGATGAATAAATTTACCACTATTTTAATTTTCAAAAAATTTTAGAGTAATTTAAAAATTATTGGCTTATGTGACGTCACTGAAAGCAATGAATGCCTTTGTTTGTTCCAACAGAGACATCTCTACTATATCTAGTAACTGGCATACACCAATGTTGACTGTTGGCAGTTTTGATGACAGATCATTCTAAAATATGACTTAAAACGGGTGAAATACCAAATAACCATATCGAAGTGGTTCTGCATTGCTTTTAAAGTCTTTTTGGCAGTTATTTAAGAAAATATAGCAATTATAATGTCAGCTCACAATAACGACGCTTCGAATGACCCAGACAATTTGTGTGTGGTTTGCTTTAAGAATGTGGAAATCTATTCTATTGGGTGCTGTGACCATGCAGTCTGTTTTGAATGTTCCACCAGAATGAGAATTCTGTGCAAACAAAATGAATGTCCCATATGTCGAAGGGAACTTCCCAAGGTATGAAAACAGTGTTTGTTATTGTAGGCACAGCATGGGCCGATAGGTGTTCGTGGAAGTCTGATAGCTGTCTAAATATAGCCATAACCCAACTTTCCTTCACTTTCATTTGATTTATATAATATATTTTTTGTAAACAAACCAATATCTGCAGGGAACTAGTGTGTTATTTCGGTTTTATATGTAATAATTTCTACCTTTTATGGTAACTTACATTCACATAAAATGACATAGGAGGTGAAGTAATGGAACTGCTACTGGTTCAAGCCTAGAATTATTCCGATTCCTTTAAACTGTTTCATATGCTCACTTCGAACATACCAAGTAATTGATTTGTCTCCGGGACAAACGAACAATTAATGTGGAATTGTTGCCAACAATTAAAAACATGGATTTTACCGTTTGTACAATTGCCAACATTTAGGTCTTGGTCCAGATGCTTCTGTTGGAAGACATTATTTCAAAAAAGGCACTGCTGATTCAATTGAAGTCTCATACTTCCTAGGTTAATTTTACTATGAGGCAGTTTCTGATCCCATTCCCTCCGTTTTGACGTCTTCGTCTTCAGACTATTACATTTTTTTAAATGTAAACCCTTGTATTTTTTTCCCAATTTCACTACTAGAAACGACTACTTATAAATTAGTGTATCAATTTTAAGTTAGAACGTAAATTACGATATACAAGGTCTTTCGATGAAAATGGTGTATTGTACGTCGTACGAGAAGCTAGAAAATACTATCCACAATTAATTTTTGCTTTGCAATCTCTTAACAAGCTTCCACAATCTTAACAGTTTATTAACGTAAACTATTTTGTGTATTTAATAATAACAAAGATATAAATGGTAGAAAGGATATAAATGGGAAATGGAATACATACTAATTTTATTAAGTTTAAATAAAGTACCCAAATGAAAAAAGATGCATTTACAAATTTAATCGCAGCAAAATAGTCTTATAATACATAATAACTTACAATATGTATCTTTTCAAATTATACCAACTAACAAAAGTAGTAGTAGTAGGTACACATTTGAAACGTCCAGTTCCCGAGGTAATAATTTATTTTGAACTAAGAAAATCGTATTATTTTGATTCAGGGAACACGTGGCAGTAGTGCGTAAAGATTATTTAGAAACACTGTATATCATAGGTTTAATGTGCTAATATTGCCCATCGCTTTTTCTGCCAGATGTTCTATAAATAACGTTGCTTTGGAATATACGTTTCTCTGCATAATGAGATATTTTGTATAATTTAAATCATACCATGCGTTTATTCACTGCATTGGAATCAAGAGATTAATGGCGACAGAACGTCGATTATTTTACACTTTGTGTATCTCCAAACTCTTGATTTATCAAAACTTCGAGTGTGTTTTTTTTTTAATTTGCAAAATTTACTATTTCAGGGGTTTTTGTCTTGTTGCAAGCAGTTCTTGAAAGTAATAACTGAAGAACTCGCTTAGTTCTAGAGGGTGGCTCGAAATTCGGTTGTCTAATTTTAGATGCATGTTCTACGGCCAAGAATAAGACAAAATATTCTTTTAAACTTAGGTCGACCAACGCTTCGTTTATGAGATTTATAAGTACATTTTAAAGGCGCGTCCAAATTGTTCACCAGCAGCAGGAACGAACATGACAAAAGCACAAAACAGTGCGAGCACCACGAATTAAGTCACGTTCATGGTGTTTGCAGCGTAATTTTACTCATACATTATTTTGTTAACACCTTTTACTACTAAGATTACTATATTAATATTCGTGCTATTCGCACTGTTTTGTGCGTTTGTTCTGTTCGTGCTGCTTACGAGAAATGTGAACGAACCTTAATGTCATCAAAGGAGTGTGGCTGCATTACAAGCCTTTCTTAGATTTGTTTTGCTTCATAGCTAAAGCTAAATCCAGTGTAAACTTGCGGACGAAATACCTTTGAAGATGCAACCTACTCGTGCTTGCAAGACGCCAGGAAGAACTTTTTCTTCGATGGCAAAACTCGAAAAAACTCACCAGTTGCGTACTAATTTTGCTTCCAATGATATTTTTACATGAGTTTTGCTTGAATCCATATGCATTTGATCTGTGTTTATTTTTGTAGGTGCAATTTCTTGTTGTAGTGTTGTATGTTGTCTGGTTATAAGGCAACATAAATACATATAAACATACATAAATAAACTTTTTGCACGTGCGTTTGCATTATTATTCTACATGACACGAATATAATGCAAAAGCCAAGAATTTTTACAAATTGAATACAAAAGTCAAATTATTGAAAATAAAATTGATGGAAAACTGTAGAGAAAAAATTAAAAAAATATTTTTGGCGTCGTATATCGCGTAAAAAAGTATGCGAATCTATGTTTATATAATCTTGCATTATTTTTAGTTGTAGAATATGCAGTTAAAAAATTGCAACTTAATTTCGAATCATCTTGTATAATTGAAGGTACAAAATTGTCACCAATACTTATTCTCATATTCAATTAATCTATTTACCAATTTATTTTTATATTTAATACAACTAAATTGGTAAATATTGCACTTTGTAATCAGTTATTATTGTATGATTGTTATTACACTCCGGAAATAAACAACGAGTTTCAAACCGCTTGTCTCATAAACATAAACATCTTTAGAATTTAAAGATTTTCTCATAATTTAATTAGCAAAATACAGTCCCACGACGGGTTCTCGACAGATATTCGAATTCGAAGACCCCAAAAATGTTCAACTTTCCTTCAATTTTTTTCGAGGATAGGAATTCCTGCTAGAAAGTTCTCATATTTGAAGCTGTGGCTGAGATATGGAATGATTTTAAACCTGGAGGCCATAAAAATACGCATCGCAATCTTGCTTCTATCGGTTTGAAGGTTCAGACTTTGAATTAAAATCTAATCAGAGACGAGATATTTCGACACAGCTTTCGAAATGGTCATTACGATTTGTTGCTTATTTCCAAGGGTTTCCGTGATATCGAGTAGTTCCAAGTTTCCGAAACCATCCTTTTTTCACTTTTGCTTGCTTCTTTTTGATGGTTCGAACTTTCTGGCTACATCTAATTAGATGTCAAAGATCTTTAGAAGAGCTATCGAAAAAATCATTGGGACTGAACCGCTTCAGAGATTTGATGGTTTTTAACTTTCAAATATCCGAAAAGTGGTACTAGAATTTTTTCATGCAAAAAATAGTTCAGGATATGGATTTTCAAGGATGTTCTTACGTTTTACAGTTTTGATCACCCAAAGATTTATAGGGCCTACTAAAGAAACAAAATTCTATAATTTTTTGTTCCATAAACTTCACTTCGTTCACGTTCCACTTTGCGCTCTATTTGTTATCAATCTGAATATTTTTGACGTTCCATAAGGGGCGAAGCACTTTATGTATTCAACATTTTTTGCCCAAATATCCCACATAATTAGTTTAGGTTTTTGCTGAAGCCACGGACCAGAAATTTTCGAATATTCAAAGTTTCGGTTCTTTTAAAAAGCAAATCCCTACTATTTGAAAGACTTGCGAAAAGTGGCCGTTGCGATAAAATCCAAGAGAATTTCAAAATAATTATGTAATTCGATTCAATTTATCTCACGTTCAAAGATAAAAATCTTTTTTGCTACATTTTAATAATCTAATATTTAGCTATTGCATAACAACACTGTAACACTTTGCGTCTGCACATGTAGTTTTGAGAATAATTTCCGTAGCAATTTGTATACATTTTTATTAAAGGAGTATTTATAATGTATAATAAATGTTACAACCATTCCTTGTAAAAGTAACTTGCTTATTGTTTAAAATTAAATACTTCTCTCGATATTGCTGTTTTATTATTAGGATAAGTGTATTATTTTTTAATAAAATGTAAAATTGAGGTCATCAATTGCCAAACTTAACAATGAACTGTAATCTGTGCAACAATGATAAATTACAATTTGTCTCTATGCCATTATAGGCAAGGAACACGTAATTTCAGCCTGTAAAACTGAAAAATAGCAAATACTATACAACAAATTACGTTGTGATTTATTTCAGGTCATTTTTACGAGAAATGTGGAACCATTTTCCGTCATGCTTTCAAAGTTTGAAAGATCGAATCTACAAGATCGTAAATTTGGAATTATATTCTGCACGTCTAATATTCAAAAGGAATACACAAAACTTCTTAATCATCGTTGTTTTATTTGCGAAGCCAGAGAGCCTAACTGGCCTTTCAAAACCTTCCAACTGCTTAAAGAACATATGAGAAAGGAGCACGAACTATTCTTTTGCGACATTTGTAGTGAACATTTGAAAATATTCAGTTTTGAAAGAAAATGTTATAACAGACAAGAATTGGCCTACCATAGAAGAAAAGGAGATAAAAATAACACATCTCATCGGTAAACCGTTTTATTTTTACTGTAGTTGTTTTTGTATAATATACAATTGCATGGATTAAATTATCAAATAATTTAGAAAATAATAAATCTGAGATTATTTCCAGCGGCCATCCACTTTGTGAGTTTTGTGACTCGCGATTTATGGATAATGACGAATTATTCAGACACTTACGAAGAAACCATTTTTTCTGTGACTTTTGTGATGTGGATGGTAAACATCAATATTACAATTCAATGGAAGATCTGAAGAGGCATTTTAAGGATGAGCACTACTTATGTGAAGAAGGAGACTGTAAAACTATGCCACTCACTGCTGTATTTAGATCTGATATTGATTTAAAAGGTAGTTTATTTCGAAAAAAATGTGAATTTCTATCCAAGGGATCTTAGCAACCAATAGCTATATAACCACTTATTTTTTTCTCAGCTCACATCACGGTAGAACATGGTAGATACATGAGTAAATCTGCTTCTAGACAAGCCAGAACCTTAGAACTGGAGTTTACAATGGCTCCAAGGCCAAGAAGTGATAATATGCGAAGTAGAAGGCTCAATGAAAACAACAGGGACAGGTAAATATTCTAGTGCGTTTAGCCATAGGCCTGTTTTTATAGCTTTTTTTAATTATGACGATGTTGTGTCTTGTTCCTCAATTTTGCATTGAAAAATGTTTCCCTTATTTGTGACGTATCTTCAGATCAAACTATTAATGATGTACTTGATTGTATCTAATGAACCAATAGATCATGTTTTTGCTTCCGTATATAAATCATAACAATTAAGAAAGTATTTTATAACTGATTTAGTACCTATGTGTTCTTTTGAAGTGAAAGAAAAATAATTGTCTGTAAATTTATTTCCAGATTTGAAGATGACAATGCTTACAGTTTGGATCTAGGGGGGGCGACTAGTGGATCAAGCAGCCAAGCTCAACTATTTGTTAACCCATTAACTTCCGATCAGTTTCCCGCATTAGGAGGTTCATCTGATAATGCAAACAACATCACTGTTGTATCCAAAAACTTCACGAAATTTAGCAACTCTGCTCTAAATAGTAACGATTTTCCGTCATTGGGTACGGTTTCTAAAACTTGTTATTAAATTATTCCGGTTTCAAAACAAGTATCCGTTAGGTGGATCGTCTACGCGATCTGCGCCAGCACTCACAATAACTGCCAACTCAGCTGGATCTTCAGCTCCTGAAGTCACTATCACTAGAACTGTTGGAAGTAAGCAACCTGCACGAAAACCTAAACCAGCTTTTCCCGCATTGGGCAGTGCAAACAAACCACCGGGAAGTAGTACAGTTCGGTTAAGTGTAAAGTAAGTGCTACAAACACGTTCTACATAATGTTCTTCGGCGCTACAAATTAAATCGATTGTTTCAGTAGTGGCAATCAACAGCAAATACCAAAAGTGTCGATTCAAGTTAATCAAAAGTCGAATGGTGCTATAACAACTCACATCACAAGTGCTCCGTCTACTTCTCAAAGGACAGAAGTATTTCCTGCTTTAGGTAAAAGTAGTCAACCCAGCCTTCACCCTCAATGGGTTCAACCTAAGCCCAAAAAACAGGAGCAACCTAAAGCGGAGAAAGTATCACCGTGTCCTGTATTGGAAACGGCCGATTTTAATTCTTTCCCCAGTTTGTCGAAGGGCAAAAGTGATAAGCCTAAGAAAACCTCAAGTGTTACCGTTCCTGTAGATAGTTGGGTGAACCTAAACAGCATAAAGGCCACCTCGAAAAATCCTAAGAAATTAGATTCGAACAATAATAAAGGAGACACCAGTACTGAAAAAGCAGGCCAGAATAGTAAGAAAGGTAAGCTTTTACGCGTAAGCGTAAATATGTATTCTAATGTGGTTTTCGGAATATATGCAGATTTATTAGCGCTTCCCATTTATTTAGTAGGCATTAGAACTTTCGATATTTTTGGGAATTGTTGGGTAATTAAAAGAATAGTAGACATTTTTGGTATAAATTTAAAAAACCTCCACAACTTCCACAAGGAATGTAAACTCTGTTCATGTTTGACAATGTTATACATGATTCTACATGCTACAATAATGGTAGAAAGTCATGTAACGAAAATTTGAAATATGAATATTTTTCGAGTTATTTTATTCGAGTTCTACCATTAATTTAGCATGTAGAATCTCCCTTAAAAATTTGCATTTTAAATTTTGAAGAGTACAATTTGAAAACTAACCTTAATTGTATGGTTCAATTATATGACAACAAATATATGCCTGATTGTTGTCATAACTTTTATTCAGAAAAAAAAGTTTAAGCATGTTTAGCAATGTTTTATGTGTAACATTTAGCTCAACTAACAGTTTGTCACATGATAAAAAATAAATAAATATGTTGTAATATAATAATAAATAAATATGAAAGTGTATATTCAAGACATAAATATAACGAGAACTCAAATTTCATTTGAAAAAAGTTTTCCACTTTCTGAAACAACCGTAATTTTGATGTACTTTTTAAGATGTAGCTCTCAGTAAGTAAAAAGTCTCCTATGAATAATTTTCTTTCGGGAAAGTAGATAATAAGGAAAATGAGTTTCACTGATAATAAAAGGGACATAACGGGCACATAGTTTGACATTATGTATATGAATAATATTTTCGTTTTATATTTTCAGCCGGAGAAAGTCACAATGGCGGCAGCAGCAGCTATGCTAAAAAAAATGAAACTAGCAAGAAAAACAATGCAAAAGCTCAATCGAATACTAATAATATGCAAAGTAAACCGGTTTTATCAAACGCAGGGCCAGCCCAAAATGCTAACACAAAAAGTCAACAATCCGAAACACTTTCTCGAACTGTTTCTAATTTGCAGGCTAAACTGGATGCGCTTAAATTCGTGGAAGTAGGAAAGCCCGAAGGAAAGTCAAAAAAGAAAAAGAACAAAAGCAACGGAGATACAAATGGCAATATTTCCGAGACTGTTAGTGAGTTTAATAGTCAACAATTAAAAGAAAATAAGAAGAATATAGAAATCGACACGCCAGATATGAATGATAACCAAAGTTCTTTGAATGACGAGGGAGTAGCGAAAATGCGCTCTGAACTGAAAATCGGCACTTTAAGTAAGTCGGGCCGAAATGATGAGTTTCCTGTGTTGGGAAGTACTAAACCCCCACCAGGTTTTTCGAGCAAGTCTGTCTTATCACAGAACACAGTTAAACCACCGCCCGGATTCGTTCACTCAAACTTTCCACCCTTAAGTCAGTCAAATGATTTAACTTTTACAAATTCCAGTGGTCAAAGCTATGCAATAAGCCCAACACAAAGTCAGTTCACCTATAAGCAACCTCGCAACTTCATGAATCGCAATCAAAACTTGATAAAACGTATTATGGAAGTTTTGAACGACAATGATTTGATGCGGGATTTTAAGACACTTTCAGATAGTTTCCGTCACGGTACAACTGATGCCAGAAAGTATTATGAGCGTTGTCAAATAATTTTGGGAAACAAGTTTGATGAGATATTTTCTGAATTGTTAATTTTATTACCAGATATTGAGAAGCAACAAGACCTTTATAATCAAATGAGTGGTAAGACTAAAGACAGCGTTGTAGTTTGCGAGAATTGCAAACAAATTATATTCAAACGAGAGCTCAGCGAACACTATGATTATCATAAACTTGAAAATCACTTTCCGGCTTTAGGTATGGCTCAACAAATTCCATCTGCTTGGAAGAAATAAATGACCTGACTGACAGTTTTTTAGTTATTTACGTTGGTTTCATTGATAAGGTAACTTTTATTACATCAATGTTTATTGGTTCAACGATAACCAAACGAAATAACTAGCCTGAAAACTTTCAAATGAACGAAAATGGCTTATCTATAGCAGAGAAATCCTATAATATTTTGGCTGTGGTTATATAAGAATGCCATTTCTTTATTTTTGTTATCAGGTGTAGTATTTATTTTTTTGGACTTAATATTTTATTCATTTTGTTTTATTTTTATTTTGTTATTCACTTTCTGATTTGGAATTTTAATTCTCTGTGTAGTAAACAAAAGTCTGAGTTTGAAGCTAAATTTCGCTTTCGAGTCATTTTCAAATATCATGCCTTTTGTTGTTCTTTCACTAACATGTTTAATTTTACAGTTCTTATTAGTTTTTTACAGTTCTTATTGCAATACCTAGCAGTTCTTCAATCACAGAAATTTCGATTTTACATTTGAATCGGTTTATACCAAATACTCCATCCTATTTTCTAGTAAGTAATTTTCTTTCGATATGTTCGGTATATTTCTGTTTTGCGTTTTTTTCAATCGAACACAGTTCTTGTGTCAATTCTTGATTATTTTTGTGTCTAATCTCAGGAAGCTAGAGAGTACTAAAAGTGAGCTAATTGTAATTGTTTCTTGGTTTGCCGGTATTTGACCTGTATGTTTTTAGTCTGCTTTATTTTCACAATGTTCGTTTCATCAGGACATTTCTTATAAAGCCTAAGTGGAATCCGAGATCAGCAGACAGTATGTTTTAATAATACACTTAACAACTGACCATTAAAGTTAAAGCTACTAAATGTTCTACTATACGCGATAGTTCAAAATTAATTACAAATATGCTTAGTTATGTTTGCTTAGCTTAAAACAATTCTGATTATAAATTTTCTATTGTTGTATAAAAAATGTCGCAAATTGCTCAATAAATTGAGAGTTGAGAGATTGAATTGTAGAACATCAAATGAAAAGGGATGTAAAGCGTATGAACATTTTTTTAAAAGACTTGGATGCCGCTTTGTTTTATTGCTTACCAAAATACCCTCTTAAAATCCTTGCATGGAATTTTGAAGTACCATGTATGTGGCCGAAAGCTCATATTTTATTGCTACATATATTTTCGAAAAGAGCGGTAGTGTATTTACATATATTTTAGAATCAGTATGTTTTGCAAACGTTGAATCTTTAGTTTTGAAATATAATTTTTAATATAAACGTTGAAAATATGATAATATAACAAACGATTAATTATCAGCGCAATATCAATTAATTTTCAATTTCACTCCAATAAAAATTTATTTAATGCCCATTTGATTAAGTGTAGTGCAACTCGTGAACCTTCATATTCACTGTAGTTTCCTCAAATGCAAATGATATTAAATAGGCTTGTTTTAGAGCGCTTATATTTTACTATGTAATGTTTCTAGTTTTATAGGTATTAAAATAACTTCGACCTAAGAATCGATCAATATGTTTAGTTTGTTAAGCGACAGAGCGTGGCAAAGTTTTAACGAATTAATCGGTTGCTATCATGGATACATCATCGGCTTTATTATTAAAAATCAGCTATGGATCGGTGATCTAAATGTGTGAATAGTATAGTATTTTTGCAGGAATTTACAGCAGGTCCTATAAAAACGGATTAGAAATAATGTAAATTTTGTAAATACCTAACTCGTTTTTATGTTTCATATTTTCTACAAACTGATAAGATATTTTGTAAAATGCCTAATTAAATATTTTTCAGTATATTTTGTGGTTTGTTTTTCCACCCACTCATGTACATATTACATGCGACTTAAAAAATACGCAACTTTAAGTTTTTATAATGAAGAACATTTTCATTGGACTGTGCCCTTGATGCGGTTAGGAAAGTCTATTTAAATCTGAATAAATTCAGGGCGTGGAAAATAGGTTTCAGAGATAGTGTGTTATTTCATTCCGGAAGTAGATTTGGAAAGTTTAACTAGTTTTGAAAATATGTCATTGTTAAATGTTTTTTTTTCAAAATACTTTTTTATTCAAAGAGGATCAAAACCACATTAAGAATGCAGTTTTTCTAAAATGCCTGGCATATTTCAGTTGTCGATAGATTTTGTTTACTCAGAAACATCATACAAAGCACAAACAGTTGCAAATAATAACAGCGGACAATTTTGTATTACAAAGTTTAAATTATGGTTGGCTACTTCTCTTCAATAATATAATGAATGTACAGGTTTACTGCATTTAAGGAAATAAATCATGAGATACAAAATATTCCATTTAAAATTACTAATTTCCGGTACACCTGGAGATGACAAAGTAAATCGGATTTTTGACTCAATTTTAAAGAAAAAATATGATCCTTTCCATTTTGAACTAACAAGCACCGAAACTAAAAAAACCTGCTTTATTTCATGTAAGTATGTGGCTGTAAACCTCTCAGTAAAATAGTTCAAATTCTACTATTTTGTTTGTGGTCTTTGAACCACCGTAATAATTATGCCTATTTTTTTAATACATACTATTTATTGGATTGAAACTCAAAAATATCCAACTATTGCATGCAATTTATTGCCACCCGATCAGCACCGAACGAGATAATCACGTAAAGAAGACGTCATAACGTACATCAGTTACCAATTTTGTCACGTCATATAGACGTGATTATCCACTGCAACATGCCTAAGCAAAACTACGTACCCAGATGTAACAATAGATACATTTCAAATATCACGTTTAATAATTTAATGAAAACATATTAGGTACAATGTAATAAAAACTATAATAAACGAATCTATTTTTGGAATTAAATAATTCATTATACTAAGTTTTTAGTATAATACCAGTGTTAGGGAATTTCATTCAGAATTTGTTTCCAACATAATAACGTTTACAAAATGTTCACAGTTGTAAAATATATTTTTGTAACATTTATTTCGTTATTCTACGAAAGTAGCTAAAATCTCGAATAATATTTGTATTGTAAACGCATATTGGGACACTCAAGGTATTGTCAAAGTCTGTTATAGCTTCTTGTTTAACAAAAACATGTCGTTAAAAGTGCTTACTAGAAATGAATTTTTGCAACGCTTTTGTATGTTAAATAAAAATATCCAAAACATATTTTACATTATATTCGGCCAAAGAAGAAAACAAAATATTTTGTAAAACAGATATGTCTATCTATTATAACTCCAAGCCGGCTTTCGTCCAAGCGAAAAATAAGCTGACGCCGCCACTGATGAATAGTCTACAGCTTATAAATGCGACAAACCTTTCAGCCGAAGCTTTAGACAATTTTTCTTCCACATAGATCTCCAGATACCTAGTTACTTCAGAATACTTTTTGCGTAGAGAAAACTGAAAACAAAACGTGTCTATTTCAATTCATCCCAATTTGGTCCCTATTTTAGAGCACGAAAAATTCGAAAAAAATTATCATTTTGCAGCTCCATGAATATTTAGTTCACCCCAGCATTTCATTAAAATTTTTCCTCACTTTACCGAGAGATAAAATTTAATGCTTCAAAATTGTATGAGATCTCCAGGTGTTCAAGTGTGACAAGAAAAGTTGTCTAGTTCGGATATCTGAATAAAATCACCTTTAACAATACTATCAAGGAATTTGCTGCTACAAAATCTAGCACTATGTCTAATTAGTTCCTGTGTTGGATCTGATTAAATGTTTTATTGTCAGTTTCATTGGTTGATTGTGTGGTTTGCGTTTGTGCATTTTTTTAAAAAATGATGCAATTGTAACTTTTTAATATCCGATATTTTATTGCACAATTATGTCTATACAGGGTGTCCTGTAAGCTCATGATCAAAAGGGTACTGCAATATTATTTGGATCAGAAGAAGACGATCTGACGTAACTTTTATTAACAAAAAACGTCTGACTCCTCTGCTATTCATGGTCAAAGTTCTTCATAAAATTGATCTTTTCTGAAATATCGGGAGAATGGTACGATGTATTTTGGTGAAACTCGCTGTAAATTTTTTCTTATGTAAGGCTAATATTTTGATGAAACAATCGAGTTCAGCCGTTCTGGACAAGTGCTGAATTCTTGAGTGTCGTGATACAAAAACTCCCAGAACTTTTTAGTTGGTGGATGATATAATTTTTTTTCCGTTGATGCACTAATCATTTAATCACAGTTTTGTGCTCTTTGTAAAATATTGTAGCATTTATAGTTTTCACCACTTGTCCAAAACGGCTGAACTCGATTGTTTCATCAAATTGTGAGTCTAACATAGGAACAAATTCACAGCGAGTTTCACCAAACTACATCGTACCATTCTCCCGATATTTACAAAAAAATCAATTTTTTGAATAACTGACCATCAATAGCATAGCTAAGTATGTATATTTCTTAGTAGGCCCCAAAAATTTTCGGGCGGGAACCATGGTTGTCGCATATCAAATATTAAGGCCCGGTTCCACCATCTCCGATTAAAATGTTAATCATTGATTAAAACTATTTAATCAACACTTTGCGTTCCACCATAATTTTAACCACGATTATGAACACTTAATCGCCTAAAATGGCTGGTTATTGACGATAATCACGATTAATGTAGTATTATAACCTCAAACAATTTCAAGTAAACACATGTTGGATTTGTTTTATGACGATATTTTATCACCGTCTGATGAGGATAATGACATTCAGGTTGTTAGAAGACCCCGAATATTTAATCAGCGAGTCAATTATTTTGAAATCATGGACACCTTCAGTTCTTTTACGTTATTTTGCTTATTGAAAAACGTTCGAAAAATGTTCGCATAAGATATGGCAAAAATGTAAAGGTATGTTGGTGTGTAAATTAAATACATTTGATTATTTTATTATTTCTTGTTCTATACTACAGGTAATGCCGCTATTGTGGACTTGAAGCATTGAAGATCTTAGGGATCCCCAGATCTCCACCAGTGAGAAAACCACACACGAAAAATTTTCGCATAAGAGACAAGTAAGGTTGTCTGAACCTAATTATTCTTCTATTAATGTAAAACTATTATCTGTATTTT